ATCAATCTTGACAGAGGAGATAGAGGAGTTCATATCTCTAATCACTTCCCCAGTAGTACTGTATATATCGTTTTTCTTAATTCCCTTAATGGAAACTAAAGCACCTTTGATCATTTTTAGCATACCATTTCCAATTTTACTAGTAAAGTCATCCTTCTCAAGTCTCCCTACTGAAATCAAATTCCTAGACAATTCAGGAATATTATCTAACATCATTTAACGTATACACAAAACCCGTGTCAAATTTTACGTTTATGTCACCAATTCCAGCGATAGTATAGGCAAAGTTATCACACAGCACAACATGCCCATTTTTAGATTCATGCAACTTACAAAACCAGTTCTTTTTCGACGTCACATGAAAAGATGCACCAGAATCAAGTATCCACTCATGAATGCGGGAATTAGCAGTTAGATTTAATTCAGCAGTGTATGCAGCTGGACTTGTAATCATATAGACCTCACCACCACTTATATCAGAAGTGGATGCTAACACATTTACCTCATCTCTCTCCTTAGCTTTTAGCTTACCCTTCTCCTTATGACAATCCTTTATAAAGTGCCCTGTGTTTCCACAACCATAGCATTTTCTCGCCTTAGTTCTAGATTTTGATCTGGACCTACCTTTGCCCTTCTTTTTCCATCCATTACCACTTGACTCGCCACTAATTTGATATCCCTCATGACTATTTTGCCTAAATTGAGTTCTACCCCGCATCATATGTACTTCACCATTCCTTTTATCATGTTTTTCAGCCTTAATTTCCATTTCTTTACTTCTAAGAGAATCTATGACAATTTCAGGTGTTAATGTGTCGCTGCCATACTTAATGGCATTCTTAACTTCCTTATAGGAATCAGGGATTGCATTTAGCAAAATTATAGCCTTATAAGTTTTGGACACAGTCTCATCACAATTAACTATGTCTTGCACCAGTTTGTTAAACACGTCTAGATTGTCATCCAGATCCTTTGAAGAATCCATTTTGAAACTGAAAAAACGTTCAAGCAGGTAAAGCTTATTAGGTGTAGACTTAAGCAAATACAAGTCTTCTAATTTCTTCCAAAGTTCTTTGGTGTTTTTTAATATACCCACCTTTCTTAAAACAGCGTCAGACAAGTGTAAGATAATTGAGGTATAAGCAAGCTCATCGGCTTCTTCTTTTTGTTCTTGTGAAAAATCAGTTGAAAAATTGCCTTCAATGGCTTTTGAAACTTTTTGTTGGACTAAAATACCCTTCATTTTTTGTTGCCAAATAGCAAAGTCATCCTTTCCGTTAAAAATTCCCAAATCAAAACTATGAGTTGTCATCTTCACACAATAGCCAAAAATACACAAACCACAATCAAACCACATAAACTAGTCCTAGGGGTCACAATAATATACTCCGTTCTAGATTCCCAGGGTTTCGTAAGACTCGCGGTCTTAGATCAAGGGAATGTTCGAAAAGGGTAAAGTCACGATATTTCTAACGGAATAAGTAAGCAGCGGAAATAACAATGCAGCAAAAAATATGTCTGGCAGATAACTAGTCCCACAATAATTTTGATCACTAAGAATTACAAAACTGATTTCAAACCCAAATCAAATACTCAATCAAAAAGATCAATCAAGAGCACATAACCTTAATTCTAGCACAAGCAATAGTTGCCAAGCAATGACAACCCCCAACCTATTGTCACCCCACACGGTGACGCGCTAATGCTGAAAAATTAACGGGTTAAGCCAATTTACCAGAGCGGACGTGTCTGAGTCCGTATTATCGAGAGAGATTCGAATCTACTGCTTTAGGACCGCAATCTTGGCCTAAAGTAATTCAGTAGATATGTACAGATTCAACCGTCGATCCACCGGGGGCAAAATTGTCCAACTTTTTCTGTATAACCTGAAACAGAAAATAAACAGTGTCAGTGCGTTCAGTGGAATAAAATAAGCAAACTGCCCGAAGGAAGCTCGCCCGGAACCGCCGCCACGCGCCGTCGCCGCCACGCGCCACAGCCGAGGGAGCGCCTCAGCCTGCTGAACCTGGATATGGGTTCGGTTTCGCCGGAAAGTGGCTTGATTGGCTGGAAATCAAGGTTGCAGCCGCGGTTCCTCAACCCCAAAACGCGATTGCCGCCGGTTTTTGACAAATTTCAGGCCGGGAAAACTTCAACTAGCTCTGATACCACCTGTAGGACCGAATTCCACAGCCAAGCAGTGCAAAATCGGGCTCAGTTTACCAAAAACATCGACACCATTTCTTGAGACAACTCCAATACCACCTTGTGCCACCACGGTCTGGTTGCTATGGATTGGGAAGAAGAAGGCCAAGAAAATACCCACGATATATCAACCACAAAGGTCACAGAGAGGGAGGGAAGAAACGGCCGAGAGAGAGAAGCTCACAAAGAGGGGTTTTTCACTCTAAATGGAGGCCGAGAGGTTGAGAGGAATATATGCCAAGAGTATTGTCCAAACAAGGTAAGTTACAATTAGGGCTAAGTGGTGGATCAAAGGCTCGACTCAAATAATTGGGCCTCAACAATAATAACATAGCCTTCCAAGGAATGGTGCGGGAACCGTGAGCAACACTATAAAATAGGTTACTTCGAACGGTCCATAACAAAGTGGATTGTGTTGTCTCGTTAATTGTGTCGATGTGCTAATCAATCATTAGGTCGAGGCCGATTGATAATAAACAACCGAGGTTACATCATCGCCCGGGTAGGTCGTTTGACAAAAAAATTGCCTAACAAGCTATATGTTGGCCACTGGACATGCCCAATACATCAGGAAAGTGCATGTTATGCAACATTTTTGGTACATAATCAGACCGTGTACTACGAGAGAAGGGAAAGGAACCCAATCTGGTGTCCTCGTAATTCGTGAACTGTTCTGGTCTTGTTCGTAGGTTTCCGGACTTCAGTTCAGCCAGTGGCCCCTAGTAAGCTAATGTCGCAGCTGTGCTAAAAAACGTAGTCAGCACACCAAATCTCACAGCTGTTTCTGGGATCCAATATTGGTGCAAAATCAACGAGTATCTAGTCTGGTAAGTTTACTTTGAAGATTTCCTGAAATTTTTGGCTAATTCGTCATATGCATTTTTTAAATACTGCACTCCTATTCTTGAAGGCCAATGGTTGCCTCACAGTTTTCGTGCAAACCAGGAATCAGTGGCATTGGGATCTCTAGCAGCTTTGTTTGGTCAACTAAATTAGATGGAATTGAAGGCAACCTCTGTAAGTTTATTGGGGTGGAAACAAAGGATACTAAGATGTCTTTTGCTGCTAATATTTTTGGAGAGTTCAAGGATACTAATTTAGCATGTGTCCAAATGCTAACCATGGGAACATCATTACATGACATTGTTCTGATGCCATGGAACCTTTCAAAAGGCATAATCTGTTAACTTTGTGCTGTTAAATCCTGCTAAAATAGAGAATAATCAATACTAAATGTCACATTCTTTACATGAGAGTTGATTTAGCCATGAACACGTATTCACAACCTTTTAAGTTTTATGTGAAGAGTAGGTTCAATTACAAATTTAAGACTTGTTATTATCCTTGGTACATTCTGAATTATGTAAAACTAAATTTCCTGAAACTTCGTTGGAACAAGCTATCAAGTTCTTTATCTTGATTGTGGGAATTGAATTGACAAATGCACATCTCCGTCTCTGAATGTTGTAAATGAAGGGTGTAAGCAAAGCCTGCCAAAGTGCATATCGAAATCTCCATTTTTAAAATAATTGATTCGGTCACTTCTTTTGATCGAGCTTGTTCTTGGTCACAAGGAGAAAAGATGGGATCAAAGAGCTACTACTTCACGCTTGGCCTGGACTCTTCGATTGGTCAACAATGGCAAATAGCAGCTGTGGTGCTTTTTCACTTGGAACCTGCTTTGGTTGGAGCTTAAGATTCGCCTAATTCGAATGCCCCTCTTCCCCTTGCTTTGGAATCAAATCATAAGACCTTTCCCACCTTCGAGAAGGCAATGTTTTTTTCGAGTATGCTAGTTATTATGAATTACGTTGTTGTCCGTCCTTACGAGTGTCCCCCTTTTTTAAATAGAAGCTAATATAGTTAACTATAGAAATTGAGGGATTCTTGCTTTTATCTCACATCTAATGAATATGTATGTTTGAGGGTGAAGCCACTGAGTATCCAGTGGGATTAGAGATGGCAATTTACGCCGCCCTTGTCCCATTGCCATCACTGAGTGGGATCCATCGTTACCACTAGACTTTGAAGGGGAAATTTTTCTACCCGTGCATAGAGGGGATAACATTGGTGGCTATATTTGGTTGGATAAAGTAAGAGCATCTTTAATACATTTTTTGGACTGTTATTTAGGTGACACGTAAATTGAAAGACTTTAAACTTATGTGACATATATATTTAATAAATAAGTACTTAAATCTAAAACTAATCTTTAATGTGTTCTATGAATTTTTATTTTCGTGCCCTTTATTTTCTTAAAATAAAAACATAATCATGTCTAAATTTACATAGGAAATATAAATCTATAAAGAAAGTGTTTTTTTTCCCCAAGTCGCTCCGTGTGACAGAGGTACAGCTCTAGATACCATCTATTTTTTCCTTTTGTCATGACAACTTGATGAAATCTATATCGCTTGTATTGAAGAAAATTTTTTCAATACTATCAATTTTGTTTGTGATTACACTTTTTAAGTAATCCACGACTACATTGGTGATGCTCTAATGGCCAGTGGCATGGATTAATTTGGCCAAGGCATTATGACTATAGGCAGTCCCTATTAAAAAAAATTTTTAAGAAAAAAAATATTAAAACTTTTGAAAATTATTATTTTAGAAAATTATACACGGTTCGCCCTAATATTTGATGGGCCTATGGACCGGATAGGGCCGGACACTTCGAAAAGGGTCCTTCCCTACAACGGGCTGAATCGGACGGAAATGGTAATTGCTCGTGGGCAATTTGGTCATTCAGAAAGTCTGTGGGCTCTATTGAAATTAAATGCAGACTCGGGGGGCCAAAATTGATTTATACGCAAAAAGGGAAATATGTGACAAAGACAGACAATATCGTCAAGGTTTCATGTACGGACCACAGACCACCATGAATAGCGGCAACACCGTACAACACCCGGGTACAACTTACGTAGACGAAGAGGAAGACGATGACGTACGGTGCTCTAATGGGAAATCCATTGATAATCCTCCATCTCAGATCCGTTATGAGGGTCCGAACAGCTCTCACTCCCCGCACGCGCTTCAAACTGCTGGTGGTGGTGGTGTCATGGATGCGGTAGACACCGTTGCACTCTACGAAGCCGGAAGCACTGATATGACTTCTGCTGTTGCGCCGGCTAGCGTGGAAGGTGGCCCTGATCAGCTTACTCTGTCTTTTCAGGGAGAAGTCTATGTTTTCGACTCCGTGTCCCCTGAGAAGGTATGTTTTGTATTGTTTAATCTTAAGTTCTGGATAACTTTTTTCTTGTAATTAATTAATTTATGGATATGATTTTTGAGTGGTATTAAAGAGAGGTTTGATGTTTACAGTGAATTTAGCTTGGCTTGTTGATTTTATTTGTTTTACTTTGTAGATATGCAAAAAATTAATTTTGGTCCTGGAATTTTCTAGAATTTATCGCCCCCGACTGTTCATGCTCAACGAAGTTTATGGAGACAAGGGGGAAAGGTCAAACGACAAATTGGGGGAAAATGGTCTGGTTAGAAATATGAGTATATCTCTTTCTGTGGTTTTCATGATTTTGAGTGAAGAAAAAGTCCATTTTTGGGGTTTTTGATTAAACATATAGGAGTTATTTGGTCCTAAAAGAATTGTTGCAGTGCTTGTGGGTGTTTGCGTTTGTGTGTGCATAGAAGATCAGATTTATGGTTCTTAATTACTTGAACAATTTAGTGTGTTGTGGCTTCTTTCTGCCCATTCTCTTACAAATTCGGTCGAATATAAATGTAACGAGGATGAAAGGTAAGTTCTTCTTCGTTGATTACGCAGGTTCAGGCAGTGTTATTACTGTTGGGTGGATATGAAGTACCCACTGGCATTCCTAGTGCTGGGATGACTCCTCAAAACCAGAGGGTGAACATTAACTGGCTGAGCTTAGTTACTAAACTTTACACATGACATGACTATTGTATCTGTTGTCACTTTTGCATTTTCTTTCTTCATAGGGGTTGGGCGAATATCCTGGAAGATTAAATCAACCACAAAGAGCTGCTTCTTTAAACCGGTTCAGGGAAAAGAGAAAAGAACGATGTTTTGATAAAAAGATTCGTTATACCGTGCGCAAGGAAGTTGCTCTCAGGTAATGAAGATAGGAAGTTTGGAGAACGCTATTATTGATGGATGATTTGTTGCTGCTTCACTTAGTCCAGCACACAATTTTATATCTAAAACAATGACAAGGATACTGATGCATGATTTTTGGTTTACTATATATATATTGACTTTTTATTTCTGCTGGAACATGTTATTATTTAAGAAAGAAAGTGATTTGGTGTTCTGGTACATCAGCAAATTACCCACATTTAAGAAAGTAAGTAATTGGGTGTTCTGGTACATCAGCAAATTACCCACATCTCATATTAAATAACACTGCACAAGACACATGGAACATATTTTTGACAGCACATTAGTTTTGTCATTTGTGAGAGTAGAGTTTGAATATGTTTTATATAGGTATCTAGCTTTGTGTTGGGAAATGAGTTGGAAGTGTGTTTCTGAGCTTACTTTTAATAGACACTTCTTTAGTTCCTGGCATTCCCACCCTTTAAGAAAGGTCCGTTGCCTTGTTTGCCACTGATTAACCGATTTGAGTCCAAATACGGTAAACCGAATCTAACGTTTTTGTGGTGAGAGGATGAAGGAGTAGTATGGAATTGTTGTCATGCTCTTAATTAGTCATTTATGGATCATCATTCATTGTTCAATATCAGGAAGATGCAAATTTTCAACTAATTGTGAGTAATTGGACATCTTTGAAAGATTTTGAAATAAGGATGATTTTGCTTGAAACGTGTAAAAATTCTCTCATCTACAATAAAAATATCATATGCTAACTGTAGAGATTAAGCTTGTCTGCAATGGGATGAAGCAGATTGAATGACTTGCATGCTTCTATAATGGCTAACACTTTGTTTGTATGCAAGCTGCATGTCATTTCTTTTTAGTTATACACTGCTATCTTTCAGGATGCAGCGTAAGAAAGGTCAATTTACATCATCTAAATCACTTTGTGATGAACTGGGTCCATCTTCTGCGGACTGGAGTGGAAGTTCTGGTCAAGAAGGACAGGAAACTTTGTGAGTGCTATTTCTTCTGAACTTTTCTGGTCATGTTAATGTAGTTGATCCTTAACTACTTATTATGTTTCCTTGTCATTATTCCAGTATTGGAAGATAAAATGATGAACTGAGCATTATTGGACCTGTATAGATCTTTACTCTAGCTTTTGTTGTCTTTGTTGTCTTCGGAAAATTAGGTTTCATTTTTTTTTTTTAACCTCTTACCAGATGTAGGCATTGTGGAATTAGCTCAAAGGCAACCCCTATGATGCGACGTGGGCCACATGGACCAAGGACATTGTGCAATGCATGCGGTCTCAAGTGGGCCAACAAGGTCCGCTTATTTTAATATTGAAGTTTAGCTCACTCATTGTTTAGAGTGACCTTATATTGTTACAGTTCTTGTCCTACCCTGTTGCGGCATATCCTAGAATTTTTATCTGGAGAAATAACAATTTCCATGTGTATGCAAAGTCACACCAAACCATCCTGAAAGGAGAGCACTTCAATATGCTGTTCAAGTGCTTTCTGCAGGATTATAAAACTCGGCCCGCTGAAACCAGGCTGAACGTGCTGTGACACTAATTATATTACCACTGCTCTCTTTTATTCAATGGCCTGTTGCCTGTTAGTCAAATTTGTGCATGTATGCTTGACTGAATGCATTCTCTATCTGGTTTTTCCAATCTATTTGAGCGTGAACCTGAAACAATTTTCTTTACTGTGAACTCTTTCACCGGCCTTTTCTCTTGCGCTGCTTGTTGGTTTCTTTGTTTGACTAAGAAACATATTATCTGTTACGTGTGTTGATCTTTTCTTCTGGGATCTGTGAGAAATTGCTGATATAGATATAATTTGTTTCTTTTATGCAAGGGCTTTCTGAAGAATCTATGTTATGTCGTTTTCAACTGTTGGGTCAAAAAATGGAAAAATATTTAAAAATTTCATTTTTCCTTTCTTCTCGTGTTGAATCTTTGAATATTGCAGGGAATCTTAAGAGACCTTACTAAAGTTCCAGTCGGAGCCCAACATCATACTCCGAAGGCTAGTGAACTTGTATGTAACTTCTGAAGAGAAACTTGCTCTGTTTTAAAGTTTTATCCTGATTCCCTCAAATTATTATGATAAACGTTGGAGATGTGCATATTCTTACCGTTCCTGTTTTATCGTTCTCCTCTCAGAGCGATGGTGGAGATATCATGACACCTTCTGCTAAGGCCATGACTACTTGTAATGGTGACAATATAGCTTTGACTGCTGAACAGTAGTCGGTAAGATAGATATTATGTTCTCTGCAGTTATTTGAGTGCCAGTTCTAATGGCACTGATAACCTGGAAACACCTGTGTAATTTCTCTCAACTTTTCGTGCGAGAATGTACACGTTTCTCTGTATCATTGATATCATACATAGGCTTTCTTTTCTAATTTGTTGGCCGCCCCTTGCCTACTAGTGTCGACCTTATATATCGAAAGGTTCCCATCTATCTTATGTGTGCCCATTGTGGTTTGATCGAGTTGAATATTCGCGTTTTCTTCGCTTGTTCAGCTAGTAGGGGAGTTTGGAGGCTGGTCGGGCTATCGGGAGTGGTTAAATATGGGGGTGGGGTGATCGATCTTGAATACTGATGCAGTGATCGGAGCTGAGGGGTGCCAGAGCATGGGGAGGTGATAAGAGATCAATCGAATAAGGGGCCTTCTTGACTCGAAGGTTGGTGAAACTTTTGCAGTGTCTATAATCAATTTCCTCGAGGTTCAAGTGAAACAAAAAGTACATATTGCTATTATTTGGATAAAATACAGAGTTTCAAAATCAATGCTAAATAAATTCATGCATACACAAGCCTATCCAAGTATTTTCTGTGCCATAGCAACATCAAGTGACAATTGGAAAAAGGATGAAAAATCCTTAGAATACGAGGTACCTATTCTTTGGCTGCTGAAAAGCGTAGTGTTTGCCACACGCCCAAAAAAGGGGAGAAGCTATGGCAGCTATCTTATTTTAATTTAATGCATTTACTAACTATAGTAGGCAAATAATGGTCAATTCTTCTGTCTTCCTCGTACCAAAAAAAAAAAAAAAAAAAAAAAAAAAAAAAAAAAAAAAAACCAAAGTAATAACGAATCTGCTCCAGAAAGTAGGATTCCATATCAAATGATTGGCTCTTGGTAGCCGAATGAACTCTTTCAATAAGACCTACATGTCAAACCCTCCCATTAGAATCTGCATTACCATGAAAGGGCGAGCGCATCTCCCCTGAATGTGATGACTTGCGGGGCTTAGGGGTTTTGGGTGAAGCAGGATAGTATTCGGTCGTACCACTGCTGGTGGTATATAGAGATGAGGTTGGAAGCCCATGGATCTTCGGCAGACCCGTGGGATCGGTACTTAAATTGTAGCCCCTCTCGATTGTCTCTGCTTCAAGTGGTAGTTCGTCCAACGTCTACATATTCATCAAGACAAGTCCTTTAGGGAAAAAAAAATTACAAAAGACAAATAATATTTATTTGACATTCTATACAGACAGTTTCGAGGCCTAATCATGGATAGCCAAAGAGATCGACCGTATGGATACATGGGTGGGGATCTCCTCTGTCAATAACAAAATCGAATAAATACATTCAAAACAATGGAAGTGGAGGGAAGATTCCAATCAAACCATCATGTCAAAAGTAAATATTGATAGCGTAGGGGGGACTACTGAACACTGACTGTATGCCGCATGAGAATAGGTATATCTAGAATTCAGGCTATAGTTGCAGAACCTTGATGTAATTTCTTCTATCGAATTAGAGGAATTGAGCACTTACCCGGAAAGCTTGTTGCAGAACCCGAAGTGTCTCACGGGTACGTTTTCTCTTGACTGATACCTCATCAGGTTCCTGCAACATCTCTTCGAACAAGTTGTCCCTGCTCCAAATACAACATTAACATACAAGCAACAGAATTTATGCACTGATGAACGCAACCAAAGAATCAGAATTCAGCTAAGTTACTTGCTAGTCAAAGCCAGATACTATAAAAGAAAAATGAGAGTAAAGAATGGAATCTTCATTTTGGGACCGACAAACTTCTATCCTTTAGGTCGTTACATTACTACAAAATTTCTTGCATTCTAAAGAAAACGAGAAAGCCTGTGTTTTCCCTCCGTTCTTTTTTCTCTCTCCTCTTAGTCCAACACACAATCATGCACAGATTTTTTCCTATAACAAATAATGGATTCTTTTGGTCTACCTAATAAAATTATGAAACAGAAAGTACCTGTAAAGTTTTCTGATGAAAACATTGTGAAGCTCTTTTTTGGTGTGGTTCACCTAAGGAACAAATTAAAGCAACGGAAGAATTGATAAATAACTATTTCTTTGTGAACGCAAAAGGCAAGGTAAAATTTCTGAATTACCGATAGAGCAGAGATAATAATTACAGCCAAATAGTTGTAGGGGACAACGGCTAAAGATAGCTTTTGTATCTTTCAGGGGAGAAGTAAGACTCCTAGATTTTTTCAGCTAAAGATCCAAGACAATTGTTGGGTACTATTGAGTGTCATTATTATGGCAAAAAAAAATTCAAATCGATAATTAATAAAAGAGAACAGAAAGCTGAGATTTCATGAAATGATAAATATTTACCAGAAAATGCATGATTGCTTTCGGCACAAAATCTTCAATGTTTTTCCGCACAATATCATAGTATGACTTCAATAACAGTCTCGTAGCAGTGATTTCAATAGCCGCCTCATCAGTGTGTGTTTCTGAGGGCCTCAAGACAATAGGGGGCTTTGATAAAGTGAAAAAGGAGCTCGTTAGGACACAAAGAAATAGAAAATTGATCTCTAACTTTCAAATAGTATGAATGTTCCCGAGGGTCTATTCTCTTAAGGTAGGTACCTCTCTCAAATGAATCAATGAAACTCCATGATCAATGATGCTCTGAATAGGTTCACTAGATGGCTTGCTAGTTGAATTCTCTTTAATAGATGAACGATCGGAGATGCCAAAAATTGATGATATTCCCCAGGTGGCACTGGTACTGCTAACTGGTTAATCATTTATATTTACAATATCAGGACTTTTTGATAGTATTGGCTACTAATTATTATCTACAGAAGATGCACAACCAGGACTATTATGTAAAATGACAATTATACCTCCTTTTAATTAAAGAAAAAATAAAAAATCTGCCTCACTCATCTACACTTCCTGTTCGCATCACCCAACTCCCATTGCCATTCCCCCATATCCAGTCCCCACCATATTGATTCTTTTCTTTCTTGTTCATACTGGAAACGAAATCAAAATGTATAACTCCAATAAGCGAGATATCTTCACATGAATAAGATGTCAATTCGCCACATTTATTAGAAGCCTTGGCTGGTTTTTGGTGTCTATATATCACATCATTGAAATAATAATCAAGTGTTCAGATTTTAATTCATGGGGTTCCTCCCGAAATGAATTGGACATCAAATATTGAAACTGTTTACTCCATGAAAAGATAATATTGAAACTGTTTACCCCATGGGAAACAAAAAATTAAATTACCAGATGGTGTAGTATTCTCAACATTTGCAGGAGGTCGAACACCCTGTTTTCATCAGTAACAAAACAATTAGTAATTTGAATAATGGAAATCACAAGTTTGTGTTCTGAACTTTTAACAACATGCAACTCAATAGCACTTGTTGCGTCCCATAGGCACCTGAGTCCTAACGGGTGGCTTACCTGCTCAGGAACAATTCCATTGACATGCCTTCCAACAATAGCCCGAGATTTGATATTTTTCTCAGGGTTTGGTGCTATCTCCAAATCTCCCGTATCCTAATTGGTAAGTGCAAGTTGTAAATTGAGGAACAGATCATTAGTGAAGAAAACCGGGGGGGGGAGGGTACTCAAACAGTCAGTTCAGCGGAGTATACATTTACCTTTTGCCTGAAAATGGTTGCAGCAACCCTGGGGGCCTTGATCTGTTGGCGTGCTACCTCTAGAGCTTTACTCCCACCAATAAAATTTGGATGGGAAGTGTTGATGTAATCCATCTGAGGAACGGAGAAAGTAGATTGAAGAAAAACACATAAACCAACACACTTGTATCTGCAACAAACAGTAAGAAGTGGAGCATAAAGTAATCCAAGGACAATGATTTAGGAAAAGAGCCTAGGAAGCATTTAACAAATAAATTCAAGTAGTTCTTATAATTTAGGAGATCTTAATTCTTGCCTTTTTCCCTGTTCGGAGGAAGATTCAGTACCCTTCATGATCTATATATCATATTAGAAGGTGATAATGCAGACCAAGAAAGCGCAAATTCTCATCCTGGAATCCAATTGATATGTGAACATTTTGAAGCATGCACAAATTTATATACATTTGATGACAGATTTCCATTGAAGACTCGGAATTGTTTGTGAATTACCTGCTGCATAAAACTCAAGTTCGGCCAGATTACATCCAGATTAATCCAATCAGGATATTGCAATACCAAGGTTCTACAGGAGAAGGATGTGGCTGAAATCTAAATGTACACCGTAATGCATCGTGGTTTTGAGTATACGTGTAAAAATGCACTTTGAAACTACTGAAATTCAGCAGAACCATTCATACAAGCTTGAAATTAAGAGGAACTTTCAGATTCTAGAATGAAAAATGTTTTACATTACCTGCAAGTTTAGTGATTACAGCCAGGGTTTAGAAAATTATGAAGTAAGTACTGTAACGAGCAGGTAGGGAAACCCTTTACAACAGAAGAAAGACTATTAAGAGTAGCTCCTCAACCAATTCGTTAGATTCTCCAATCTTTGCTTCCCAGTTAACTAAAATGTTCTTTTTTTATGCGAATGTGGGTTTTGACTCTGATATTGCTATGGTTGTGCTTCAGGCACCATCTTAATGAACTACTACTTCTAATTTTCATGAAAACTTCTAAGAACAATGATAACATATTCTCATTATTTCAGAAGATCAAAAGAATAGTGGATATTACTGTGTCCTTTGACAACCAAAACCTAAATAGGGCAGGGGACACAAAAGTTCACATATAAAGACAGATGGAGGCCCGGAAGGATGAATGATGAATATGCCATTTTTTGGGTAAAATGTGTATTTGGTGCGCACTAAAGAGAGGAAAGAGTTCAACAAAGAGGCTCACAATACTAAAAAGACAATTGAGTAATATTAAACTTCATGGTGAACATACCTCCATTTCAATCATGTGTCCTATCATTGTCTCTGATGGCTCAAGGCCTTCCCATAAAAAATTTCCTATAACTTCATCAATGCGCTTTCTTAGGATTGGAAACCGTTGCAATTCATTGACCATACAACGATGACTCATCTAAAAGAAAACATAGAAGTTAAGGAAAAAAGACAATTGAGTAATATTAAACTTCATGGTGAACATACCTCCATTTCAATCATGTGTCCTATCATTGTCTCTGATGGCTCAAGGCCTTCCCATAAAAAATTTCCTATAACTTCATCCATGCGCTTT